GTCAAATGTATAAATAGTGTAATTTAAGAAGAAATTTATTATCTGGTATGATCTTTCTCCACATAATTGACTCGAAATATAGGTTAAAAGTAAATAATGACTAAAGTTATTCAGTGAATTGCATCCGAAGACGTTTCAAATAAAGAAAATTTGGAGGATGAATGAATCATAATTGTCAGATTGCTACCTAGGTGATAACCTAAAAACGTATCATACTTCTTCCAGGAAGAATTAGTTTCAATTCTGCTTGGAAATTACTCAATTCTTCTTCCTCTCTGATTAAAAAAATAAAGGAAATTAATACCTTATTATAAAAATTATATAAATGATAAATTGAATTTAATATAGATTTTTTTTTTCTATTGGAAAATGTTGTATCTGGTTTCCTATATTATGCAATTTATACCTTTATCAGAGTAAAAATTGCTTTATTTTAGTTGTATATTTAGAGAATTATACTGTAATTAAATAACAATATTTTAAATTTGATTATAAATTATTTCTGGTACATTAAAAACTATAAAACCAAAAAGAATATCGTAGCTAATTACTTCTATATCTTCTAAGTGTCATGGAGATATGAAGAAAGACTTATAGTCATTAGTAATAAAGCATTATACAAAAGGAAGAAATCAATATCAATAAATTATTTCACAATTTAATCTACTTTTCTTATGTAACATGGTATAGATGTGTTTCTCGACAGCATAGAAACTTATGTTAAATCATGACACATGTTAAATTAAATCCTCTTTGATATCTTAACTTCTATGTAATGCAATTAATTACACTTAATGATACTACTTTTCGTTATAAATATGTGTATATAAATTACATAAATGGGATAATTTGAATCATCATTACTGATTACTAAATATCCGCTGATGATTCAAAATTTCTTATCACTAATATCAATATAAATATATAATTGTTTTATGAATAAATTCAATTAATTGAAGCGATTATCTTTAAAATTTAATTCTTAATCACTTATTTTACATTGTAGTAGCTTTATTGAGTTAAGTTTTTGTCGGTGTTGATGTCTGCCATTGCTGCTCGGTTCAATATATTGAATTCTGATAAACTCAACGAAATATCTACTCGATCTGTTCATAAGAAAAATATTAATTTCGAGTATTTCTGAAAATTGTTCTAAAAGTTGATGACCTTCCTTGACCTTTAAGCAGTTAGAAAGAGTTAATTTTTTTAAAAAATTAATTGACAAATTAAGAATTTTTTACGTTCTTAGTGTTAATGGGGGGAGGTATTGTAGAATTCAAACATAAATTACCTTCTTCTGTTTTAGTGGATGAAGTTGAAGATTTTATTCTGAAAATAATTAATGTATAAACTGTTTTATTATTATACATTGTGTAAAACTATAAAAATTTATTTATCTACAAAATAAGAAATTAAATTATTTATTTTCTTCTCAAGATCCTGGAATGTAGTAATAAATGGATTTCGTTCTAAGAGAATTTACATAAAAATAGTAATTTCTATCTATTAATATACACTGGATAACACTGAAGATTTTATACTGTAGAATATAAAAGCATAAAAATGATACTTAAATATATTTTGTAAAAGTAAAAAAAAAAAAATAATAATAATAATAATTTATAAAATAATAAATAAAATCTTTTATTATATTCTCTAGACTTTTGAATATTCTAATTAATCGACTTCATTCTATGAGAACTTAAATAGAAATAGTAGGTTTCTACTTAAGCTGGAGGTTTTATTCTAAAGATAATTAAATCATAAACTGTAATATTATTATTATTGTATATATAGGGGAGATCGGGGCAAGATCGGCATGTTAAGCTTTACTTAAATTTTGTGTAATAAATACTGCTGTAAACTGAAAAAAAAGCTTTGCATATTGTCTATTGGAATGTTACCTTACTATAGAACTGGTTAAAATCAGTTTGGAAATAAAAATAATTAAAATAATTACAACTTTACAAGAAGA